GCTCGGGTCTTACCCTCATGACGAGAGTAGTTTTATGATTGATGCCTTGTCTCCAGCTTCAATTTGAAAAAGATATGATGGAATGAGGTTTCGAGCTTGTTTCATTGTTCATCGGAAATAGAAACCGCAAAATCGTGTAAAATCACACCTTTCACACCCATTAATGTCGAGGGGACTATTTCAACGGTCTAAAATGGCATAGATTCTAGTTAAAAATGATTTTTGAGTGTAAGTTAAGATCAATAATAATTTATTTTTCAATCGGATTATCAAAGTATCAGAACGACACACCGAGGTGAAAAATATGATACTACCCAAAATATATTGCTGTAAATCGGTCATTTGCAATTAGACACACCCCACTTAAAAATCCTATTTTGACACCGCGAGACCTAGAATGTAGGACTATTTCAAGGCCCATGACCAAAACAAAAATATTTTCTACATCACTTCATTTCGAACTTTCAGTATTTGAAAAAGGAAAAAAAAATAGGGAAAAAGCAAAGGAATCAACATTGAGAATCCTTAATATCGTTTAATAGAAATATACGAACCCCTCCCGCGAAATAATAGACATCATTTATTGATTCAGATAATTTCCAGTAGTAGCCTGTGTAACCTACGACTGAATCCCAATCTTATTCCGTACTAAGTTTGAAAGTTTGAAAGTCGATCAATGTCCAATGGATGAATGTTGATCAATGAATAAAAAAACAAAACTAGCGCAGTATCGGGACACCTAGGCCGGAAACGGCAATTGATTGGCAACATCAATGACGATTGTCGAAGAATTCCGTTGGGCGTTTCCGTTCAACAAAAGTCGGAAAATTTTGAAAGTCACCGGAACTATGACCTAAACGCCTGGAAAATTGCCCATTCCGTCCATTCATTCGAAAAAATTTGATTTGTTGACACGGGATGCCAAGTTCCGACATTGTTGGCTTTCATTGTAGGGTGGACGTGATGTAGCAGAACAGATTTACTTGCACAAAGGTGTTTTTAAAGAAAGAAAAAAATTCACACTTGTGCCAATTGCCAAACCACTCTAATGGACTATTTGTTGTTATTCTCTTCCAAATTCCCTTTGCAGAGAAATCCGCTTTGCTCGATGGCGTTCAATGTCATCACGGATGCTTATTAACGCCTACGTAATAGTTACTTGAGCATTTAAGATGATGATTCCATCGACATGACTCTGTAAGAAGTGGGGAGGAAAAGAGGGAGGTGAAAAATCTTCGCTGAAAAAAGAGAATCATTCCTTCTCACTCGTGCACCAAAACATAGCAAGAAGCCTACAGTTAGGTTAACGCAACTAATCATGTTCAATATTTGTCGGTATTGCATATCCAAAAAATTGAAGGCGCTTTGGCTTTTCAATAGCGCTACCTGAATACAAATATTGTCACTCAATTCGTGTGGTCCATGCATAAAACAAAGTTAAAGCGTCATTCGATTCCCTTGGAAAAATCAAGGTAAATGTCATCAACAAAATCATACAGATGATGATCGAGTATGCTGATGCAAAAATTACTTTTGCTTTGGTGTGAATAGCTATATGCATAGACGGTAAGTTGAAGTGCAGCCAACGTGCGTTAAAATTAAGAAAACTGAAAATCTCAATACAGAGGGAAAAAGCTCATCCGAGCACAATTTTCCCTCAAAGAGATATGTTGTTTGGTGTGGTAACTAGTATTGCACCAAACAACGTATCTCTTTGAGGGAAAATTATGCTTGGATGAGCTTTTTCCCTCTGTATTGAGATTTTCAGTTTTCTCAATTTTAACGCACGTTGGCTAGACTTCATGTATCTAAGTAATATCTCTCATCGAGAGTTAGAAAGTTCTCAAAAATAACAATACGAGGTGAAAATGGCACTGGTCATCTAAAAAATATCAATTTTCTGCTAATCTGGCAACGCCGCTGCTCGTATGTTAATCCCGGCTTACCTGTCGGTGGCGCTGCGCTGAGTTTGGCCGGGGGCCATTTCCTGCATCGATTACGGCGATTCGGATGCGATGATACATTGGCCGCGCTTTGGCGCCCCGACCGGGACCCGATCAAAAACGGCAACGGCAATCGTGTCATGAACGCGCCCGAAAATAACGACAAATCAATCGCCGCGCACACCTATGCTCCTCCGCTGAGAAAACACACTGTACAAACACCCTTACGTTGCCAGATTTCCACTTATAAAAACCGAATCCCCACCAAGAAATGTACACTTTTCCCTTACATATTTTCATGGTATTTTGATCGCACTGTATTCTAATGTATCTAAAAAGCTCGAGGAGAAACAGTCACGTCACTCCTTTAAAATAAATAATTTATCGAGATAAATTTGGCGACGATGGAAAGCTCATGTGGCGTTTTTCCTCATCGCGGCGGTATGCACGCGCATTGTAGCACGACTGCTCGGGTCCCCACGCCGACCTACATATGGACGCATTGATGCTGAAAGGAACTATGTGCATAAGGTTTGCGTGCAACATAGTTCCTTTTGGCATGAATACATCCGTATGACCGATTGTAAACCACCGTTGAATTCGCAAATTGGGACGGAATTTGACAACGTTGCATAATTATCCCAAATCGAGTCCACTGTCCACCCACCAGCCGTGTATAATGAGATGAATGAGTTATTTATTATTACGTTGAGTTACTTTTCCGGTTGGTTGCATGATATGTATTGTTTAGTTATTTATTACTCAATTGGACGTATTTCTGCCAAATGGAACTATGTGCATTATGATGTAAGCCCTATTATGCATATATTCTTATGGGTCTCAGGGCTCATATCTTAGTGCACATAGTTCTGTTTGGCAGAAATACGTCCAATTGATCGACGTATGAAGTGAATTGACAACGACGTCCACTCGTCTGAACCTAAGTCTAGGGTTCACCCATCAGCAGTTCAAAATGAGATTAATTATTTCGGTCCGAGCCGGAGAAATATGAGCCAAATATGACCTGCGAATCGACACATATTAAACTTCTCCCTTATTATAATTATGTGCGATAAAAGTATAACGCTCTTTTCCATTTAGCTTCACATCATCACGTCTAAGGTTCCCACCTGCAGTTTGGAAGTGAAAAGAAATTTCAAACGAAAAAGTCCCATTGAACTTTCAATTTGACGGAGATTGATGTCGGTGGATTTTTGATCTGTGTTTTTCAAAGCAATTGAATTAACCGTCGTGAGAAAACTGGATTCAAATACGTGTGCTTTACACTTTGGATTCAAAATCCAGTGATTGGCTTTGTCAGAAAAAAAAAAAAAAACTGGATAGGAAAGGAAATTAGAGGTCGGCAAAAATTGTTTGAATCCTTTAAGCGATGCATACCAAATGGTTTAAATCTGAAATTGTATAAATCCTTTCAAAAATGTTCTTTTCATGAAAAATTCGTGGATACTTGGTATCTCTCGCCTAAAAGATTACACGTTTAACAATCAGGTTGAATTTTACTTCTTGGAACTTCTGAGGTGATGAAACAGTCACACCGAGACGTTTCAGAATGAATTTGTCATTGCGGCTTTCAAAAGGTAGACACATGAATGGTGTAAGTATATACTGGCAAGCAAATCAACAGTGTGCCCCCGTCAATTTTCTTTTACTTCTAGCGCGATGTCTGGTAAAATTTCCGAAACCAGGTAATTTTTCAAAAGTTTACAGTTTTTATCATTGTAAATGACAGTAATCTATCAATATTGCACCGGTCCATTACGCCTGCTCTCGACATCAGTATGTCGTGAACAAGATCACGCATAGAGTAAGTTTCAGCAATTCAAAGCGTTCAGCATTGATAGATCTGACTGAAATATTACCGTTGTGGAGAGGAGCACTAGTTTTGCTGTTGAGAAAACGCCTTCAAACTGAATGACTGCAACTATCATTACACTTCAACGTAGACGAGAAGATAAAAATTGGAACGCATTCAAAATGTTGCACGCGACAGAAGCAGCTTGCTTCAGAACTCCTTCAAATAAAGAACGCAACACGCACAGCCGATTACAAGTGACCGACTCAGGCACAAAGATCGTTTCTATGTACGTAGAATCATACAATCCGGTGATAAATTTGACGAATCACATTTTACAAGAGATTTTTCTTTATCCCTGGAGTGCTTTTCAAGTCCGCTCAATGATTATGAGCGAATGGTCCGCCGCCAAGTCGAAAACAGGTTCTTATGATATTTGTTAGTAACAAAACAAGTGCACTATTAGAGTATCGGGTTGAAATTCGTACAGGCTGATTATTGAAATTAACAGAAAATGCAATAGACAAGAGGAGAAAGGGAAAATAGAACGACCCTATTGGTTGAAACGGGTGGTTTTTATAGACTAAGAGGGGAAATGATGGACTACATATAACGCTAGGTCTCTCGTGGGTTGACGTTAGCTAGTCCATTATGTTAGAGTTTTTCCACCAATGTTCGTTGAAAATTCAGCATTAAGCTGAAATTCTCATCACATGCTCTATCAATGTCAATTATCAACCCACTGGAGTGTATTCAACGCCAGAGTCTTTTTTAACCCTAGAAACACCGAACGATATGAATATGGGATAAAACCGCCTCGTAAAAGCAGAGTTAACTGATGAGAACGAAAAACGCGGGAAAGGTACCGAAAAAGCCGGAATCGAGCTCTATAGAAATTCTAAAGAGAAAGGAAAGATTATAAAACCAGCACATCCACGTTACGCATTTGTCAGTTCTTTTTACTTTGAAGCCGCATGAATAGCAAGAAATACAAAAAAAAAGGAACATTTCAATTGATGGAAAAAATTCCGAGAGCCTGAAAAATTCCAGAATTTAGAATGAACTCCGATAAATGGCAATAACTTCGCAAACGGCGAAGATTCCTACTTCAAATAATTCGGGGTTTCCCGGAAAAAATAGGTTCTGGGGTGAAATACACTCCTGATTTATTTCCGATATTTCTAACAGTGCGGAGTAAAAACTGAGTGTGTGTTAATATGAAGATGGGATGTTGGGTGACTTACCGGATGGCTTCGATTTCCTCGTCCTTCTCAGCGAGGCGTTTTTCGGCTTCGTGACGGAACTGGCTCAATTCAGCTGACAAACGTTGCGAGCGCTGTTCTTCAGCTTTGCGGCCCTGAAATCAATTTCAAAAGAAAAAAAAAAACTCATTAACACGATTGTGGATATTAAGATGCATCCTCCGGGTCATCCAACTATGATCCTTGTCTTTGGAAAATAATACTAAAATATCAATGACCAAACTACGAAACCACATATCTCTGTTTGCGACGTTGCAGAGACTTCCTGTCATACTTAATATTTTCATCGGAAATCACCGGCTTCATTGAAAGACACAGCACAGATAATTTGACCCTCTTCCCCTCTTCATAACGCTTCGTAACACAACTGCAGACCGGGGCGGGGCCGGCACTCTTTGCTCCCCATGGGGGTTGGGCCACATGGTGGCCAGGGGGATAACCCCTAGTTATAATGCTTTAAGTCGCATCTTGTACAGTGGTTAATTAGACCGCGTTTAGCAGGAAGGAACCAAATCACATCAGCTATTGCCAAATTTAACTGGGCAATTCAATGTTTTACAAGAAAACGTTTGAGCGGATCCCATTGAAAATGTTGAGGAATTCCCCTCGTACTAGGCAGAAAATTAACTGAAATTCGCACAAAAATCCGCGCAACCGTTTTCATGTAAACGATTAAATTGCCCAATTAAATTTGGCAATGGCTGATGTATCTTGGTTCATGTCTACTTAACTCGGTCTAATTTTCTATCACACGTACTTTTCGTTCTTCGATTCTGGCTCCTCCTATACCCGATAAATGGAAGCTAGGTTTCAAGAGTTTCTTGGCTTGTGCTCTTTTTAGGTGATATATTCAATTTCTAATGCTCGGTTCTAAAATGAGAGAGAAAAAAAATACTTACGGCCTCTGCTTCCTTGTAGGCTGCGGCCAATTCCTCTCGTTCGTTTTCGAGACGACGCAATTCAATCTCCAGCTCGTGCAGACGACGGGTCAGCTCTCCAACTGTGTTCTTGGCATCGTGCAGGTCATCTGTAAACAAGAATTCCTTCTTTTTTACAAGTCTCGAAAGCTAAGGAGCAGTGAATGCAAAAGTGTTGTTATGATTTTTGGTGTGGGCTTACGGTAAGATCGTGGCTACATAATGTAAGGTTTGATCTTAGTCATGAGACACGTGTGTGCTTTAAAATCCATGATTTTACCGTATTTCTTAAGACTAGACAAAATATGGGAGTAAAGGAAAATGATTGCGGATGGTAGAATATGATGCAGAATGATGGAGGATAAAAGAGGACGATGACTCTTACTGTGAGGTTTCTGATTTTTCACTGCTTTGACGACATAGGCGCGAAGCGTTTTGGAGAGTTGGACCGCAAAGGTTATAGGACATTTTGTCGACAATTTTTTTACAATCTGTTTTTCTAGTAGTTTACGTCCTCGCGAGATTTTTTTCCCGCAGGGGAGCTTTGGGCCATCTACCAATTGAGACCCAAACTTAATTGGTTCACATTTGAATACAAATGACAATTGCTCACGACGTTTTTGAACGAAAATGTATAGTATTTTGGAAGAACTAGGGTTTGTTTGATCCAACGGAGAAAAATTTATAATTGAGATTTTTGGTAAAAATGGGGGAGCGTCAATTCCATGAGGGAAAATTCACTAAAACTCTTTCTATATCTGTTTGGTGAAACAGGGCTTAATTATAGTTCCAGAAAAAACCCATTATGTCATACCTGAACCGGATAAACCTTTTGATATGCCTCAGCTAAAGGCTCTTACATTTTTCCTATGTACGATAACTTCGCGACGGCGGCGCCGGCGTGCCGCGGCGCCTAAGCTACTATTTCGCCGCGGAAGTGTTGCACAGTATAATAAGAGATTGAAGGGACCCCAACGTATCATGATTGATGGCATCTATCAAAAGCTCGAAGTTCTCTCGCAAATTAAATCGAGTGACGACGACAAAAAGAGAGCAGTAGTTGGAAAACTTATTGAGTCCTAGTGTCTGTATTTAATAGCGTTTAGCGTGATTTTTGAACATCATTAGAGGAAAAAGTGAGTTGATTCAAGCAGAAATATGCTCAAATTTACCACGAGTTTCTTATGAATCAACAAAGAACATAATGCTTGTTTAAAGAAGAAAAGACGCTTACATAAAAAGAAAAATCACTTACATCAAGCAGAAACCCGCTTTCATTCAGCTATTTTATTTTTGATTCAAAATAAAATCTTCTTGACGGCATACTCAAGAATGTTTCTGCCTAAATTGAGTCACTTTTTTCTCTAATGAAATTCAAAAATTATGCTAATTGTTATTAAATACGGATGCCAGGACTTGGTGAGTTTTTAGACTATTGCTCTCTTTTTGTGTGAAATATCATGATTTAGTTTGCGAGGAAAGCTCCGAATTTTGAGGGATGCACAGGCATCCCTCAAATACGTTCTTCCCTCCATTCTTCATACGTTGGAGCGCATTCAATATGTATGATACTGTGCAACACCTCCGTGAAATAGTTGCTTGAAGCGCCGCGGCGGGCGAGAACGATCAGCGTGACACGCGCATTGGCGCCTACAAACCTAACAGGGATACCTCACGCATTGCGCAATGCGTGAAGTATCCTATTAGGTTTGTAGGCGCCAATGCGCGTGTCGCACTAGCAGCTCGCGGAGTCAGCGTTTTTCAAATCATGATTTTGAAATGTTTGCTCACTCAGCGTGGCTTATTCTCTTTAAATTTATGGGAAAAAAATATGTATTGATGGAAAATTAATTTTTTGTGTTTTTCGTAATTATTAAGATGATTCTGTGTTAAATTTAATGGTTTCCAAAGCACTTTAATTTTTTTCTTTATATTTTGTGCTTCTACTGTGCTGTAATATGCTGTACGGGGAGCCAAACGCTCAACATTGGACGTATTCTATTCTAAAATATAGATGTACAAATGGGTTAACAGCAAAGGTTGTATGCTTCTTGGTTTTTCCCCTCTTTTATTCATGTTTGTATAGTTTCTTTCAACACAACTACGGCTCATTGAGATTAACATAAAATTCATCGCCTGAAAAAGGTTTTACAAATGTTTGCCACGCTTTAAAAATGTAAATATTTTTAAAATGAAGCAAAAATTCCATTATAAAAAGAAAAAAAAAAAAGGCATAAATAAGGTAATGTTTTGTATCGAAAATTTTAAAGATAGAAATAAAACCAAATATTCTCCAGTGACAATTTGAAAAGATGTCGAAGTCACTGTTGCTTATTTTTCGCGTGGACGTAAACTACTGGACAGGACAAGTGCGCGGTCAAAAAATCGTTGAATCGTCTTGAAACCACTGCAAAACGGTCAGGAAGCGTACCTCCTACTTAAATTTTACACAAGCCCTGTCAGCTCAATCAGTAATTAAATTACCCGCAGCCTTTGTCGTCACACTCTAATTTTCGAATTACGACTGAGGGTTCTACTCTGCCGCTAAGCGATTTTCCGAAGTTGCGTAGCGCCCGATGAACGACTTGCTAAGGGTTGAGCCGCGTGAAGGTAAAGGGCAGGGCTCCCTCTTAGTATACTAAAAATTCTGTGCAAATTTTGAATGACGATGTGTAGAAAAAACGATACACATAAGTCATTTGAGAAAGATAAATCACTGTTAAATTAACGAAGAATTAGACAGAATGAGAGCTCACTCCCTCATAGGGCGGTCTCTTCCGTCAAACTTTAAAAAATTGAACCTGAGCGCCCTCTTATAATATTTCTCAGATTGTTCCTAAATTTTACAATATTTTAAGCTTATATGCGTACAGAATTGAGAAAAAGCATCATTTTTTATGCACGTCAAGAGCCCGATGGACTCAGTGATGGGCTTATTGGTGTATTGCTATTCCGATGGAGAAGTTTTCTCTCCCGAGCAAAAAGTTGGTGCTTTGGAGAGGAATGTATCCGTTCCTAAGCACTAAATATTTGCCTGGGAGAGAAAAAATTTCTCCCCTCTGCATTGAAAAGTTGTTCCCAAGAGATACTTTTTTGTTTCCGGAGCAAAATATTAGTGCTTTGGAGAGGAATGTATCCGTTCCCAAGCACCAAATAGTTGCCCAGGAGAGAAAAAATTTCTCTTCCCTGCATTGAAAAGTGGTTTCCGAATTCACTAGTCTATTGTATTGAGAAAGTTTTTTTTTAATTATTTGATTAAACAAAAATGAATCATTTAAAAGAAAAGCAAAATCTGATGGTACTACGATGAGACAAACTCTTTTGTCAACTTATTACTCAAGGTGTATGTACCTGATCAACAACCCGTGGGATCTCATCAATATTTGACATTACTTCATGAATGCATCTTACAACTCAGCGTAAATTTAATGACGTAAGTGAAAATAAAATGCATGACAGTTTAGTCACGCTCTGATGTGCGGAACTAAGCCGCTTGGCACATAGATAGAGCCACCGCTATGAATAGACAGATCGCTCGCAACATCTACATCGCATCGCCAGCACAGGAGCGAGGCACGCCATATAAAACGCCTTCAAACAGGTGTATAGGCAGTATTACGACTCCGGCGTTCGAATAGTTGCTCGGCCGAGGTGGGCTGATAAAACAAGCAGTTTGAGCTGCGCCGCGCCGGCCGATTAATGCGGTTGCCTTGCGGTTGAAATCAGTCCTGCCAGTAAATTAAGTTGATGGGTCTTTCGTGAAATTTTGTTAGAGCAAGAAGGAGAAATTTTCAATGTTGTTAATGACTCAATAAGTAAAATGAGGGCATCGAAAAAGTTTGAAAAAAACTCCGGAATTCATTCTCCGGAAAGCTGTGTAATTTGCGCATGTTTTAACTTCCCGCCTCAAAAATGTGGTACGACAGAAGAAAAATTCGATACAGATGAGTCAACCTGGTTTCAAAACTCCGCAAAACTTAAAATGGTAGCGGGCACAATACACATGTCCTCAAGTAAAAAAAAAATAAAAAAAAAACGAAGAAAATACCTTTACTTATTAAAGTTGACTTAGAAAGTAAAAACGTGAAGATGTCGGAAAATGGCGTTAATATTGCTGTTTTATTTCATTGAAATGGCAACTTACGATAGCGGCCAAATTATGAAACAAAGGTGACTAAACTGTAAGATACTTTTCTTACTCAAATTGAGAACATCACCAATTGCTAAATTTAACCGAGCAATTTATTGTTTTACTAGAGACCATTTAAGCGGATTACTTTGAAAATTTTAAGGAATTTGCTTTGTACAATGCAGAAAATTCACTGAAATTAGCACAAAAATCCGCAAAATCGTTTTCATAAAAAAGTTTAAATTTCCCAGTTAAATTTGGCAATAGCTAATGTGGTTTAGTCCTTTCCTGTTCGACGCGGTCGATTTCAAACCTCCTATAGGGTGACAATCGTGATTTTTGAGTCGTTTCCATACAAAACCTGTTTGCATTGTAATTCTTGCTCAAGCTAAAGTTTACAACGGATCCATCGACTTCAAACTCTTAAGATCCCTAATTCCACCGGCAATGGAATTCTGTTGAATGATGCTTGCATACCTGCCAATTTCTTGTTTTCTCTGGTGAGCTGGTCCTTCTGTTCGCGAGTTTTGTCCAATTCGTGGACTGTTCGTTGGAGCTCGGACTGCTTGTTGCGTAGGTCTCTCTGGGTTTGCTCGTAAAGAGCGGTGGTTTCGTCTAACCTGGTCTTCAATTCGATGTTGAATCTTTCCACTTGCTCTAGGCGTTTCTGTAGATCTCTAGCGGTGTTGTTTGCCTGAAAATCACCGGCATCGATTAGTCAAATATACCCAAAACACTGTATGCACTGTACTGTACTGTGCTACATGAGATATGACAGACGCTCCGCAGCCCGTGACACGTTATAGAATAAAAAAAAATAAAAAAAAAAAAATTAAAAAGCGGATAGCAAGGCTAAAATTTTACCAATAAAACCGAAACGTTTGGGCTGAAAACTCAGGCTTCCTCAGTTGGATAAATATAAAGAAAAACGGTAGACATCTAAAATAGTACCTGGCTGTACCTTTCAAAGAGAGAAAGGGTCCATCATAACAACATAATCGCTTTAAAGGCACAGTCATGTACTATTTTAGATGTTTACCATTTTTCTTTTTATCTATCCAACTGAGGAAGGCCGAGTTTTCAGCCGAAACGTTTTGGTTTTATTCGTGAAATTTTAGCCTTTTTACCCGCTTTTTAAATTGTTGTTTTACTGTACTGCACTGTGCTGTATGTACTATACGCTGTGTACTGGTATGTTGAGCCAAGTACTGGAAAGCATTTCAAGTTATTCAGAGAGAAAAAATAAGAGTAAATAATAGAAAATACTTTCATCAGTGGGGACTACACTGCCGAGCTGTGGAAGAACGCCGTGTGAGCTCTCAGACGTTGGCACATCTATTTAAAAAAAGCACGATTTTTTTGGAAAAAGTTATGTACATTTTACGTCAAATTTTTCGGGGAATTTTGTTCGTAATTTGGTCTGCAGTGTCTACAAATTTCAGGGGAAAATATCCATAGCGTTTTACAAAAATGAATATTTCCTGAGAGGCAATCTGGCAACATTTGTAAGCTCCTACGGCGTTTTCCCGTAGCACGATAGTATTCATTATTCCAGTGGCGTGGCGTAAATTGCGATGTATCGATTGTTATGCCATTTAAACCTATGGTACAGAATCGATTATTAAAGTGTTCGCTGCGAACACCCTGTTCATTGATCCTTTTCCATAGGTTTAAATGACAGATCAATCGATTTATCGCAAAGAACGTCACGCCACTGGATTATTCGTTTTCAGGTGTTATTATCACGGTGTGGTCCCTATTACTTTGAATTTTGAATTAAATGTTATCAAAAGTGGACAAAGAGTAGGAGAACATAATTAACGAGATTTTTTTGTTTTCTCAAAAGTTATGCTGATATCTTGGAAAAGGTTGAACATAAAGGTGACGGCTACGTCGATACTTATGCGTTAAGATCTTACCCACTTTTTGCTCTAACTCATGTTGGCATGGACCGTCATGCGGCGCTAAATGACTAATTCAGTCCATATTACAAGCTACTATTTCCGCTTACATATGAAAATCTGCAACGCTGGAGAGCAAGAATTTTGCAAAATTTACGCGAAAGGGTGGGGTGGGGGATGAAGAATTAGGTTAAATTCTAGGCCCACTTCCGTGAGAAAAGCTTTTTGGACTTTTTTGAGTGAAAGATAATAACTTTGCTACCCCTCACAAAAATACATGAAAAAGTTTAAGATTCTAGAAAGTAGGTACCTTTTCTAGATCGATGATGAGAACTTCAACTTCGCTCTGGAGTCGGGATTTCTGTTTCTCCAAATTGCTCAATTTGACCATCAAAGTTTCAATGTGCTCTTCTTGTTCTTGGATCCTGGCTGAGTATTTGCGGCTGAAATACAATGATGATAGAAATTAGAGATTTTTCAACGAGGAAAGGGATTGATCAGGAGGCGAATGAGCTTCGCACGATAGTAAATTATTTCATTTTATATCGACTGTCGCCATTTTAAAATTAGCTTGTGGATTTCGAAAAAGTCATCAAAGGGATGCAAAACCCAATAGAACCACCCTTGAACTTTTTTTAATCATATTTTGGAAAATATAAGCTTTCAAAGTTTCCAGATTTTGTCCGACTTCTTCCGTTGACTCGATCCACTGTGTACTGTGGCAGGCTTTGCGATGTATCAATTGCTCTGTCATTTAAATCTGTGGAAAAGGATCCATAAATAGGGTATTAGCGACGAACACCTCAATAATCGATTCTTTACCATAGCTTCAAACGGGGAAAAATCGATAATAATCGATCATTCACACCGTACCATCGGTGCCTACCTTCTTCTTCGGTGAAATCGAAAATGCTCGAAATGCGACCACCCCCCTTTCTCTCTCTATGCCTTAACATAGGAATAATAACGCATAATTAATACTCACCGAAGTTCTTCAACTTCTTCGGCCCTGGCGGCGGCCTCTGAGTCGTACTTGTTCTTCCAGCCCTGGGCATCTCCGTTGGCCTTGACCAACTGCCTCTCCAAGTCCAACCTGGCTTCGGATTCTTCCTCTAATTGAACTCGGAGAGACTCGAGTTCTACCTCAACTTGGTGTAAACTAGATTCTAATAGTGAGCGTCTCTGTGGGGGAAAACAAATGAAATGTTAATCATCCTCTCAATCAACTTCAATGACTTGAATGAAACATTGAATTTTATTTTATTTTTATTTTATTCTACAATTTTAGTAGGTACATGAGAAGCTTAATTAAGCTTATGGTACGAGTCAGAAGTGTGGTGGAACAGGAAAACTAAAAATTAACAGAATTTATATTTTTCGTCATATCCCAAGTAGCAGTGATCGCGATAAGTTAAGATTTGATCGGAGAATGCATCGGGATACTATCGACGTCGACTGATTGCAATATGATCGGATGAAAAATTGCGATCAGTGCGATTTCATCGCAGAAATTTGCAATCAAATCGAGATTTTATCAACGGTGGTTTATCACAATATCATCGAACAGAAAGTCGTGATAAATTGAGATTAAATTTCGATCTAATTGGGCGCGATTTTATAGAGATGAAATTGCGATAAGACTGAGGATAAACGCTCAGATGTTGACGATCCTAGCGATTTTATCGTAAGAGAATTCCGACTTCATTTCAAAATATCGCGATTTTTCCGTGGAGAAAATGGTACTTGGGGTCTCGGAATAATCATGGCAGCGTTTAAAATGTTCATATAAGTTTATCCGTACAAAATAGGTAGTGAAAACGTTGCAACGTCGCAAATTGAGGTATGGGTGTTTTTAAACTCACTGTCGGTGATGAAAAAATGTGTAACTGCGCACAGGCTCGAGTGTAATATCAACGGTAATCGGGATCTTCTGCCATCAGGTTAAAGCAGTACTATCGAAGGCGCTCTGAGCAACTATTCCACCGCAGAAGTATCGCACGGTATCAGACGGGAATGAAGGCGCACTGACGTTTGCAAATTGCCCGGTATTCTGCCGTACTAAGGAAGAACGCCGTATGAGCCATCAGGCGTTGCCAAATTTCTTTTGATAAATCACGAATTTCCGGGGAAATAGTTTAAATATTTTTCTTCCAATTCTTCAGATGATGTTGTTTGCACTTTTACTACAGTTCTTGAAAATTTCAAGAAAAAATATTCATAAATTTCCTCAAAAATATGAATTTTACTCAAGGAAATTTGGCAACCCTTGAATGTTCATCCGGCGTTCTTCCTTAGCACGGCAGTATGATTTACCGCTCCCTGTGTAAAGTTCTACTGATCCTCTGATATGTGGCTCCTATTCGACCGATTTTTGTGAAACCTGGCACCAGGTGACATTCTTTGCTAGGAAACTTAAATTTCAAACTCAAAATTTCAAAATTCGAAAATTCAAGATGGTCCGTTGTTGTTCCTTCGAAGGTTCCAACTTCATGTTCTCTTTCTCGTTTTATACAAATAGAATTAAATAAAAACTACTGTTTCGCGTTTTCAGGGCAAAAAGTTTATTTAGATAGGAATTACTTTAAACTTACACTTTTTTAAAGGTACTTACTCTATCTTCTTCTTCTAATCGACGGCGTGCGTCTTCCAGTTGTCCGGCGATCTGAGATTTTAAGTAGGTGGCATTTTCAATGTTTACTTTAAGATCTTGCACTTCTTTTGTGAGCTCGATATTTTCCTGTAAAAAAGAAGAAAAAAGTTCATCAGAAATTGAATCTCTTTTCCATCGTAAAAACCACTATTGAAACTATCAATAAAAAAGTTGATACACAGTATCAAATGGACATTTTACAGGAGCGTATTTTGTTCATCTACTGCGGCCCGATTATTGAAAGTATGTCAGCCCGACACGACAAGACACAGCCCAGCCCTATCTCAACCGTGAAATATATTGTAATTCGATGTCTTGGTTTAGATTTCAATAATCGGCCCGCTGGCGAACAAACGCAATCTTTTAAAACATAGCGTCTCCTTGTTAAGCGAATTTTATTTTAAGTTCCGAACCTCTCTGGGAAGTTCTGTCCCGGTTTGTATCATCAATCACTAACACCAGTGGATGCCGGTGTTACCAGATTCGACCAATCAGATCCGTTAGTTTTCGATAGGTCGAACCTTTTTTAGAACCACCTCGCGAGGTGGTGCCAAAATCACGCACCAATGTTGCGATTTGCTAGTCACCGAATCGGAAGTTCCGAACTCAAATAGGGCTCGGAGGTTCGGGCACAAAAGCAGTACCGAGCCTCTAAATAAAATTCGCATGTTGAGTGTTGATAGTGATACCTTCCTCCGAAGAATATGATGAATGGTAGCATCTACACTGTGTATTATTTCCGGCTACAGTAAAAGGCTTGCGCTAATGCGCTGCCTTGAAAATATTTAGATAAATATTTCCTGTCGTGCTTTTTTTTGTACACCAATGAATTATTTTTCGAGCTGTCAAAGTTTATTCGAAAAATAATTTTAATTATTCAAGTCATTTGGTTCAAAAATAATTATTTCGCAGGAAATATTAGCCTTGGTCCCTTTTTACGGTGTTCATTTTAACAGATCAGTCTGAATATACTTATTCGAAAATAAACTATGTAAAAATGAATTAAATCAGAAAGAGAGAGCTACGTGCATATAGAATTTGCATGTTCCACAGTTATTTTTGATTTAATTCAACTTTGTTTAAGTCTTTTCAGCATAGAAAGTTCATTTAGCAAAAACTGTTAAAGTAAGAACTAACGCGGAATTCCGCCGGTATTTTCGACGAGCAAACTCCTTCAAGGTATGTTATAAAATTTGGTTTCTCCCTTTCAAACGCTGCCCAAGTATGGAAATAGGAAAGGCCAATAACGGGTTTGCCTCAATAAATTATCATAATTCATCGATCTAATTTTTCATGTTGCTTCGACACGCAAGTTACAAATTAATGATACTGTTGAAAAAGTGCACTTCTGCAATACTTTTTTAGAATTTTAGGCGTACTAACCTGAGATAATCTTGTTTTGTGTGAGGTGATGTCAATAATTGTGCGGTTGAGCTCTTCAATCCTGATGTTCAACTCATGGATTGTTACCTCTAATTTTTCTGAGTGTTTCACGACAATCAACTAAAAAAAGAATTACAGGTACGGTTTCAAAATATTTTAGAAACACCAGTCTAGATTACAGAGATGACAAATCTTTGAGAATCCCAGAACGGTCCTGAAAGTCCAATTTTACAAGAAAAAAGTTGAGACACCCAATCTGATGAACTGGGAAGAAATCTCATGACAAGAATCATCAATTTATCTTTCAGTTAAACGAATAATTATATTAAAACAACTGGTTACTGTTTTTCTGTCTTTTCTCTCTTACATTGGGTTTAATTTTAAACATTAATAACTATCAAAGTATGCAAATCATAAAATGTGTTTAAATTCCACATTTTTGTTGTGGCTATATGCATTGTAGAACATTCCTGAAATTTCAAATCACGCATAAAAATCAGCATTCTTAAAACTGTCCATTGGAATCATCGTATTAACTTGAGGTGCATTCAATAGTGATGCGAGTCCAAGTTCGTATAGTTTCCTATCTTGTCAAATGGATACAATAATAGTTTTTTCAGACATTGCATGATTTCAGGATATTCTCAGTTTGTTGGATCAAACATGTGAAAAATTGAAGTATGCATTTAAAAATTACATCATTGTTTATCATTGGCTTCTATACTGAACAATTAACGTTATTAAAAATAACAAAAATAACTCACTCGTTCCTTATTTGCGGATTCCACTTGGGATAACAGTTCATAAACTTCTTGTTGGAACTTTGCCTTTTCCTTTTCGGTTCTGTTAACAGAGAAAATTAAAACATTAATTGTTTGAAGATTTTGAAGAATTCATTTCCATCAATCAATCAATCACTTTAGAAGAGTCATTGAGTCGCAGTAAATTGAGCTATAAACATGTTATGTTGTTGCGCTGATTCGGGGTGCGACCGTCTAAATGATTCACCCTAAACGGGGCCGGTCAAAAAGGCAGAGAGGCTATTCTTTAAAGTTCGCAACATTGGACTTTGGTCATTTAAACGAATGCAAAATAATCGACACGAATCAACTAAGAGTCAATTATCAATAATTATGGAGTTAAATGGAGGAGAAAGTGTTGCCAATTCGTGAGAATGGTGGCTTCATTTCGTCCCTCTTCTGACTTAAGGGCTCTATTTCCTCATAGACCCCGGAAAGAATAGAGTTATACGGAGAACAGGGGTCACGTGGAAATTAAGATACGCCTTTTCTTCGGAGTATCGACAATTTGCGAGCGTAAATTGTCGTTTTCTGGACGAAAAAACGTAGTTGAAAACATTAGAACGTTGGCAAATTTTCCTTCGCAAAATTGATTTTTATTTGACAATTTTCGAGAACTTTCAATTGAAAAGTTCACGATTTCTCCACTGACTATGAGCAAATATCAGCACGATTTCGGCGATAAATCGAACAGGTTTATTCCCGTAGAAAAACGTATTTGATGGAAACAGTGCGTGACTCTCCAGGCGAAGAGACGCAACTCCGCTTCAAAGTTGCAAAATGTACTGAAAAATTCAATTTTGGCTAAGAATATGGCAGCGCCATATTTTCCGCGGGTAATCAGAAGTAAAATTAGTTGAAATTTCAATGGAAATTTTCAGATGTTTACCGATCGAACATCTCTCATTCTGGAAGGGAAGAGGGCAAGTCCGCAGGTAAAAAGTCCTAAAAATCACGACAAATTACGTTTTTATTAGGAACATTTTTACGTCACGGAAGAAAGTAGGGATTTAAAATCCTGGACTATTGGTCAATCTGTAATATTCTCAGTTAAAAACATCCGACAGCTTCTCATCGAAAGCACAATTTGCGCGAGGAAATTTTGCAGCATTGAAATCAGGGTTGCCACAGAATTCAGAAAATGAAATTCCCTGACATTTCCCTGATTTCCCTGACACATTTTGGTGAAATTCCCTGACAATTGTAGATGTGACATCGACGGCATAATTGAAAATAGTTTTCAGGCAATATTTGTTGTTCGAAACCTCAACCCCATTCTAGAAAGCAAATGAAGGCAATTAAACAAATTTTCCCTAACATATTCGTCATTTTTGTCATTTTCCCTGACTTTTTAAAATTCCCTGACATTTCACGATTATCCCGGTTTTCTCTGACTGTGGCAACCCTGTGAAATGTAGTCGAACATCCAGTCTACAAAGCGACGAAATGCCCTACATGCTTACTTCCATTTTGTTTTCCGTACTTTTTTCAGCGCTGCGAGCCGTAACACGGCCCTCCTACGCGGCCCCGGGACGTGGACAAGTTTTCGGTTCCGCTCGAGAGGGGCGCTGAAGAGGCGGACCGGGGCTCCGAGCAGTCACCGTCATCGGAGCCGCCCGCGGCGATCAGTCATGAATGACCCGGTGCCGCGCCGTAGTCAATGACATAAATAGGTGTGAAAAAGTGTGCTGGAGGCCGCCCCTCCCCTCACCCCGCCCCCCGGCCCGCCCCCTCATCCCGCCTGCCCGCGCGGGGGCTCGCGGAAAAATGAAAAGCCAGGAATTCGAGCGGGCGGCGGCGGTAACTGGATCCAGTGCACAAATATGGTCGTCCCGGCCGGGGCCCGAAATAGCCGCCCCGGCTCGGACTCGAAAATATCCGCACCTTCGCCCCCGCCCCACCCCCTCCCGGCGCCCCACCCCNCGCGCCGCGTTTTTTATATTTTATTTTCATAAACATTAATTCCACAAACAAGCCAACGACGGACCCCTGTGACGTTGCGCGCGTCGCGCCGATGTCGCGCGGGGCCCGCCCCCGGGCAACTACGAGGGGACGCCGCGCAGTGGATCGAGTCAATAGGAGAGGTCGGACAAAATTTGGAAACTTTAAACGCTTATGACCCCGTTTATACCAAATTTGGAGGTTCTGAAAGTGATTCTATTGGTTTTCTCGTAAAATTTTCTTCCCAAATCACCCCTTTAAATTTGAAATGTGACGAAACAAACACCTAAATTTGTAGTTTTAGTAAAAAATGTCATGTCCAAGCTCTCTGATTGACTCGATCCACTGTGTGGCGCTAAGTACCGACTCGCTGTGCGTGTGACTCATTGGCCAGGTATGCACCATAGCTTTACAGATCGCTTCATGGAGTACTGTAAAGCCGGCACCTTGTTATGAAGGCGTGCCTCCTATTGGTCCTGGAGTTACAGATGAACAAAAGGGGCCATTCAACAAGTGTGCTGTTTAAAATTTTGTTATTCTGCTTCCGGAATGAAGATAAGATTGAGTGAACTGAAACTCAATTTTCAAGTTATATTTAACTATATTTCATTTTATTTGGCTCGAACTGGCGCTGAAATGACTCTATAATCGACTCTAAATTACTTTAATTGCAGCTAAATTGGTTCATTTTTTCGGGCCCCAGGCGAAGGGACGTAATTTCATTCCAAGGTTGCAAAATGGACACACACAACTAAATTTGTTACACAAGGAGGATGGTGCAATTTCAGTGCACAATTTCACAGATTTTTGCCAGCAAATCAGTGACAGTTTTACTTTCAGTAAAGAAAAAGGACAATCAGACAATTTTGTACGCAATTCAACCTAAAATATGTGAAAACTTCAAGGCAAAATATGCATGAATGAAGTTAAAAATACGTGTGTTATAAAGGGCAATTTGGCAACTCTCGAATGTTCATGCGGCGTTCTCTCTTAGCACGCCAGCACTGATATGTTAACATTTTGGATTCTGCAACTCAAACTGGTCCAGACTACCGTGCTAAGGAAAAACACTGCACGGACTTTTGGACTTTCCAAATTTATTCTAATAAAGTTCTGATCATGCATCTAGAAAATTTATAATATATTTCGTTCGATTTTACACGGAATTTTGCTTGAAATTCACTCTGAAATATTATCAAAAAAACTCTCATTTTCCCTAAAATTTAAATAATTCGTCGTTTCTTTCACGAAAGATCATAATTACACTTGAGGGGCTTGGAGGACAAGGCGCTTAAGTGCAGTTTTTGAAAAAATAAATATTTAATGATTTTAGGTAAAACTAGTGTTATTGCATGTTCTGTGAAAAATTCGCTCCCAAATTCCAATTTTTAAGCATCAAAAAGTCAGTTTAAACTTTCTTTCCGCCATGAAGATCCGTATAATATCGAAACTTCAAACACTTACTTCTCAAGATAGGAAAACTACACTTATTCACCTTTTCCTTCTACCCCTTATTTCTATTTTGTCAAATTTCCGCTTAAAAATTGCATTTTTACAAGGAGAATCTTGAGTATTGCTGACTGAGAATTTCATTGATTTTTCATTCAATCTTGAGCAACACTCGGACATTTTGGACAAAAATTGAACAGGTACATTCTCTTAAAAAAAAGTCAATTTCAATCTTGGGATGGAGTTACGTTCCTTTGTTGGGGGGAAAACGTCGTCGATCAGTTGACAAAAGAGCATATCTACACTTTGAGATGAGCCCATAAAAGCATTGAGTCATACGGACGTCAAGGCTCATCCCGAGTGCAGTTACGTCCTTACGTCACTCGTATGCTCATCCGAAGTAGCATTTCTCCCCGGAAAAATCGCTTAAAAATCTCCAGGATCATCATCATCTGAGCGATTATTCTTGATCTTATCGCGATAAAATCGCATTTTTATCGCCCGACAATTTATTGCTTATTTTCGAAATAAAAATAGCGATAAATGGCGATTTAATCTCGATTTTATCGACGAAAATTGATCACGATTTTCTCTAACCAAAAATTGCGATGTGTAGCGATTTAATCACCATATATCGCAATTTTCAATGCGATAGTATCTCGATATATTGCCACCGATAAAATCGATATTTATCGCTATCACTGCTACTTGAGATACGACGTTTTTCGTCTGTATGGCAGCATCAGAGGTCTGATAAACAACGACGCGATTAAATCGATTAATGAGCCGAATACTTGAATTATTTACACCGTTACCAGCGAGACGCCCCGGCTCTGGCGGCAAGCCTCTTGGCCCTTTCCTCGTCTCAGGGACGCTTGATACCCCCCCCCCATCCCCTACCACCTCGCCAGGGTGAATCATTTCGCGCCAATAAACTCGCAAGAATGCAATTATCTCCCCTTCTGCCCCCCTCCCTCCATCGTGCAGCGAAGACGCTGGACCACCGAGCGAATTGTTGCCATACGGGCATTGTATCGCACAAGATCTGATGGAAAATTTAAGGTATTTCTGCACGATTTGGCAACTATGGGAGCTTTGCAACAACAGTCGCGAGCGTGGGAGGGAGATGCGCGACTAAAAATTCCGAGAGCGCGGTGGAAAATTGAGAGCTGCACGGGTGCACGCGTGCAGAACAATTTCGGATGTCGGGGAGGATTGTGTGGATATCATAAATAGTGGTGTCTATTGACCAAGGTTTGAAATTATTATAAAGTTGAGACAATTTTTGCTCTATTATATAGGTCAGCTCAAATCTGTGGGCTTAGTCTTGTTTTATGAAGTTACTTAGGTTCATTGTCAGAGACGGGCCGTTTACGCGGCGTTAAATGCGGTGGTTAAAAAAGGAATTGTGCACGAAAACGTATACGTAAGTAATTGATGACTCGGTACTCTCGGGTAGAGAACTGGACTCTGGGAATCTATGCTACCGCACTGGAAAGAAAAAAAAAAAAAAAAAAAAAAAAAAAAACACACATTGGATCTACAGTCCAGACTCTTGAAAAATCGACAAGAAAAGATACTCTTGATTCAAACGGATTTTTACTTGAATCAAAACGAAATCGGTTTAAATTAAGAGGCTTGATTCTTGATTTA